TTGAACGGATCAGATTTTTTTTTTGTTTCTTTTTGTGTGTATTTTTTTTTTTTTTTTTTTTTTTATAATCATGGGAATAAAAAAAAATACTAGTATTTTAACATTTAAATTAATTTAGCAGCATGAGGCAAGCAACATAACTGTAATACTAAAACAATTACAATAGTGACAGACTGATAGACCTTAAAATAAAATCTATATAACATAAATGAAGTCAGAGATTGAGTGCATTTGGCCAAGTGTGTTGATATACATGTGGATGAGCAACAGGTTGAACAACTGTGCAGTTGAGATGTTGTCAATGAGAAAAATTAGTGATATTAAAAATTTCTGCATTCCTAATCCGTTCAAATCACCATGTCAGTTTTTAAGAGAAAAAAAAAAAAACGGGTCCAGACTAATTGCTGAAACTATGACTCCCCCGAGACCACAAACAGCGTGGTCCTGAGCTAAACAGCGCCACATTTTCACTTCTGTGGAATTAAATGTTACCGTATGTAAAAATGTAAAAACCTTGCTGGTCATTGTCGAATTCAGCTCTAGGGGAGCAGAGGTGGAAAGAGTACTAAAAAATTGTAATTGAGTAAAAGTATCTTTACTTTGCCTAAATTTTACTCAGAGTAAAATTAAAATTACCCATCTCAAAATTTACTAAAGTAAAAGTACAAAATTACTTCATTTAAAATGTAATTTGAGTAAAAGTTACTTAGTTAGTTTGAGTTATTTAATGCAAAAAAGGATGAGGCATGAATCGAATTGACCACAAGGTGTTTTAATCGATTTCAAGGCATATTTCAGTGGACATCCACACTTGCAAAAGATCAGCTGGGCTAAAGAACATACTTCCTCATAGCACAAGGACAGTCACAACCTGTACCATAAAGTGCAAACAATTTTCAATCCTACTGTCCAACAGACAACACCATGATAAGAATAAAGACATTTAAACTACATTTTAAAGTTTTCAAAATGCACACAAAATGAAATGCCCAAAAGATACCAGAAATCAAACTAAAACACAACAGGATCCCACTGTTATTAACAAGCTCATCATTTAATGATTTTAACTGACACTTGTTTTACTTTAATAGTGATTTTTAATTTATAGGATAATATATTCTTAAAATTCTGTTTTAGCCCTAAATTGATCCAACTCATTTTGTATGAATTCGAGAGAAGTTGGCTTATTTTGTCTGGGTCTCTGTGTTCGAGTCTGTTATATGAATTTCCATAGACAGCTTGTGTTTAAGATCCGCTCTAAATTTCTTTAACTCTAAATGCTCCTGCTCTAGTAGGCCTATTATATAAAATTATATATTTTTTTATGTCTTAATCAAAACCATTTGGTCGGTGGGGCGGTGCTCTAGCGCCCTCTAATGGCCGTCCACCACTACATGAAGGACAATTTTACAAGGTTTTTGCTATCTTCTTCCATCAGATTGATGCACTCTAAATCTGCCTGTATGCTCTCTTTTTCTGTCCGAGTTCTGGGCTTTCCTCATGTGCAGGTTATACTTGTACTCTTTTTATTTTGTGTAAATGGAGACAGATTGTCCATCTGCATACAGTGTGTCTGTTGATTACCCTGTGGTCAGTGGCCCTGTCAATCTTCCCATTAGAAAGACAGGATTAATGCATAATAAGCTCTGATCAGCAGTTAGACTGCAAGCAGCAGCATCAACCTCTGTCTCTCATTCCTTTCTATGTGGGGAAGTGGAATTAGATATAAATGTTTTATCAATTTGGTATTGAGCTATCTCCATGATTCTAGACAAAATGTTTTATGGGGTTCAGGGTGTGTCCCTTATGATTTCATAGGGGCACAAGAAAGCAGACAAGAAAAATACGGCAATAGCTTATGATTTAAAATATATTATGAGAGCTGCTTTGTACTGAATGAAGTGGAAATTCCATGACATAATGTTTTTTTTGAACTTGTTATTCTCATTAAAAATGTGTATCATTGGTTTGAAAATGTTAATTTTATTTGCCTAATATGAAATATTATTAATAATATAAATAAATAGCTGCTAAAAATATAATTACTAAAATATAAAGCAAAGCTGTTTTTTGGAATATTGACTCAATTTTATAATTCAGGATTATATTAAATTTCAGGATTATATTAAATAACAATTAGTATAACGCAAATAAAAATAAGAACTTAAGCATAACTGATTAATTTAATTGTATAAAATAAGTGTACTTTTTCAATTTGGTTATAATAATAGTTTAACTTTATTGATCTCATATTGTAAAGTTTACCTCTGCTCTTAACCCATTCCGTTGGGGAGCAGTGGGCTGCCATAATGGGGCACCCGGAGAACAGTGCGGGGGTTAAGGGTCTGTGGGAGTGAACTATTATTATTATTATGTCTTAGAGGTATAGTGGAGGATGTTCTATTTCAGGTGGATCGTCAAAATAAGTGGTCCTCCTAATTGTCAAACATTCTGGTGCTTTGTTTTCATAAGGCCGTCGTACGTGCTCAGCCCCATTTTCACTTAGTGGTGGTGAGTCTGGAAAAATTTCAAATCTTAATTTGGAAAGTAATCTTGTGTGTTTGGAGTGTTGGCCTAGTGGTTAGAGCAGTACGACTTTTCTCTGAGAGGGTTGCAAGTACCTGGTTCGATCCCTACAGCTGCACTGGGTCCCCGAGCACGACCCTTAACCCCACACTGCTCCCTGGGCGCCGCACAATGGCATCCCAATGCTCCCCAAGGGGATGGGTTAAATGCAGGAAGTTCATTTTGTTGCTCTGTACTTTTGACAGTGTAATGACAATAAAAAAGCTGAGCTTGTATGAGCGATGCAACCAGCAACTTTTAAACAAAGCGTGAACGAGGAGAAATGGGCTTCTGCATGCTCTTGCATGTGTTTAATAGGGTACAGGGTTGTACATGTGCAGTTTTTTTTTTAAGTGGAGAGGGCGGGTCTTTTAAAAAATTCACGAAAATTCTCCACTATCTTTAAGCACAGGATTCAGGACCAGTTCAACAGGCAAGCTGGCCCACTTTGGCCCCTGTCTAGAACTGCCCATTACTGTTGCAATCATGACCACCATTAACCGAAACCAAGAGTACAGAGACATTATCTTAGAGCAGGGGTCTTTAACGTTTTCCAGGCCAAGAACACCCATACTGATGGCGAGATGGAGCAGGGACCCACTAATTATAAATATTGTATGAAATTGTGGTATATCAGACTGGTTCTATAGTTACTCTATTATAGATGGAGTCATGTAACGAAAGTCATTTTGCCCTGGGATAATTAAAGTATTTCGGATTCCTTGTTGATGGGACAGGTGTTAATGAAACGGTGCCCGGCTTGAAAGAGCTCCTGTGTGTCGCTGAATATGTGCATTGATGACTGAAACAAATCCTCTGCCTCCATTTATCTGTTTGCTACAGTGTGTTGAATTCATGTAAATGTGTATTTAAAGACATTTCAAATAGTGGAAAATATTGAAGGGGGGAATATAAAGAAAAAAAATATTTTTCGCGACGCTCATGCAGTACCTGTTGAAGACCTCCGCCTTAGAGCCAGGGGCGCCTCTAGAAATGTTTCATAGGGTAGGCCAGATGGGGCCTGTTAAATTCTTGGGGTGGCACACGGAAACATAATTTCAGGGTTTTATTCTACTGCTACGGTAAAACTGCTTGTGGAAAACTATTATAAAGATCTAAGTAAACACCTACTCATATCTTTTGGCTTATTGTGTGATTATTAATGTTACTACTGATCTAATATGCACAGACATAGACCACACATTTTGAGTTGAACAATAGTTGTGTTTTATTTATATTTGAAATAAGTTGTACATTTATTCATTTTTTGAAAACAAAAAATTACTGGGGAAAAACAGATACTGGCAGATAAAAATAAAAGCAAGAACAGAAATGATATCTTTGCATATGTAACAGGAATATCCCAACAGGGATCAATAGTCTTGTTCTGATTACACAGCTACACTGAATTTGTAAGAAACATTTAAATCTAACCTTAATGTGAAACAAAAATAATACTTTCCAGCAAAGATCCACAGTCAACAACTCTGGTTATCAGGCTTCAGAACAGCTTTATTCGCCTGTTACTATGCTTTTTGGCAAACCCTTCCACAAAGTCATAAAGGTTTATGGTCCTAGCCCTTCTTGATTCTATGCATAGCCCAGGGTGGCAGTGGCGCCCTTGCTTAGAGCTTTGGTTGGTCTTGTTCTCCAAAGGTATTGGCCATGTCTCTGTCTCAGTACTCTTAGGTCTTGGTTAGTGTGTTCTTGACTACAACCCTGCCACCAATGGTTTTATCTTCAGTAAGTTAACTGCAAATGATGTCTTTGCTGTTAACAAATTCTCTGTTTAGGAGGAAGTGATATGACAATTTAGTATCCATCCATCCATCCATCCATCCATCCATCCATCCATCCATCCATCCATCCATCCATCCATCCATCCATCATTTCACTGTTAGACTTGTCTAATCCTTTTCAGCAGAATACTGAAGCTGATATCTACTCTACATTCCATATTTACGTCGCTTAAGCATTCACAAAGGCATTCCATCACAGCGGCCCTCCGCTGGCGCACAGGCGCTTGTGCGCTCTAATTTTCTCCCAATGACATCACACCCAACATGGCGTGCAGCCGGGTGCTGGAGAGGGAGGTCCAGGAGGAGCAGAAGAGCGCAACACAGGACTTTTGTCCCCACAAATACTCTCTGCTGATTATAATCGGACGGACGGCTCGCCACAGACAGACTGAGAACATCCGGGCGGAGATCGAAAAAGGTGGGTGCAGATATTTACACCAACGAAGCTCATTGCGGGATTTTTTTTTTTTTTTATATAATCCAATTTCTTCTGCGTTTTAATGTGATTTCACACCCCTTCCAGGTCCTCACAGTCCACTGAATCTGTATAATGAATGAAAGAGGGAGCGGTTTAAAGGGTTTTAATCATTTTGTCCACCTTAAGGACTGAGGATGCGTCATCTGGCTCTGCGCCAACATCAGCATCTCCTCCTCATCCCTCCGGCTGTATTTTAATTAAAAGCAGTCACAAGCTAGGGTTTTTTTGTTTGTTTTTATATATATATATATATATATATATATATATATATATATATATATATATATATATATATATATATATATATATATATATAAAATGTTAGGAGAAGCTTTAGATGAAATGAAGTGGGGATCTCCAGCCTCATGCAATCGATGTCCAAGCTTGCATATTTATGCATAGCATCACCTGAGATGATCAGCCAAGATCTGTGATTACAGCAGATGTTAGTGCATCACTATCCTACGCAACCACATGTATGCTCTGTCTGTTTAAAAGGTGTATTAATAAAACATTAAAGCTGGAAATAATTGAACACCGAGAACCACTTTGGTCCTTAACTGGGCCAATTAACATTTAATCAATGCCTGATGAAAACCACTTTCTCCAAAATGCTGTTAAATTTTCCTCAGAAAAGAAAAAAAAAAGCCTTGCAGCTTCTTAAAATTTCCAGGCTTCAGGTGAAGATTATGTTAAAAAGAACAAGAGTGTGTTGATTTTCTTACTTGCCTGATACTTTTTAAGTTTTCAGAAAATAGTTTTATTTACGGAGCTATTTTTAAGAAACTGACAAATCATCCTGAGTTTAGAGTAGGCAAAGTCTTCCTTAATCAGCTGTGATTGAGGATCAGTTTCACTCACTGTTGCACTATAAATGCATCAGAGCATACATGTGTTAATACATTTTTTTTATTAACACGTTTCAGGTTAAGTTAGTGACATAAATGCTTGATAGGCATGATATTTCTATTCTTAATTTTCTTTAAAAACACCCACCTCCATCAGAGAAATTGCAGTATTTTTATTTCACCTTTATCAACATATTCTCATTATCAGTTTGTATGAAATCGTAAGAAAAGTTATGCACCGTAATTTCGTACGTTTTAGACGTTTTTTCGTGGTATTTCGTCGTATTTTTACGTCTTGCCTCGAGACAAGATATCCTTGCGCATGCGCATTAACTCTAACCCTGACCCTACACCTAACCCTAAGATACAAAACAGCAAGCAACGTAGTTAGAGACATGAAGAAGTAATTATTGCACTGTTTTTCTGGGTTTAGGGCAGGAAACTTCTTATTTGTCCACTTCTGCTTTTGAGTTTCATATGCCCCACCTCATCCACCTTCTTCTTTAAATGCCATCCTGGTAAAATCATGTGTCAAAACTGAAAATAAACTTGCTGGTCTAGTTTAAATACTTTGAAATTACGTTATGAAATCTATGCAAATCTTACATACAGAGAGCTTTGGAATTATTGTTAAGATTCAAGGACCTTTCCACATTTTGCCATGCTAAAGCAACAAACTTTATAATATTTTGATTGATTGTTATGCAACAGCTTTCACAATATATTGAATAAATATGAGCACAATACAACATAGACAGATTAACTTATTAAAACTGTCATAGATGCAAGTACACAGAAACATGACTGTCCACCTAAACTGAAGCAAACACTCTGGAGAATATTTTTTACCTTATGAGATTTGAATAAATGCTATAGTTGAAGGAAAACCATAAGAAAGTCTGTATTATTTCACCAGCTATTGAGGCAAAAGCTCTGACATCTGAAAGATGGTCTGATAGGATCAGAGCAATGTTTAACTTGTTCAAATGGTGGTGAAAAATGAATGAAAGTAGTAGAAGACTAGAACTTGGATGTAGGTTCACCATTAAATGGGACAGCCATCCCATTCACAAAGGCATGTTCTTGACTGTGCAAGGATTACCCAGTCAAAGTATACAGTTAAACCAAATTATGATTTTTTTTCCCTATATACTGAAGAGGAACAAATTCAATATTCAGTGGTTCAAATTTTGTACATGTGCCAATCATGTAGAGTTACTTTGTGTTACTTTATGTTAACCTATTGCTACAAATAAAGAAATGTTGTGGGATAAGAAATATGAATACTCTGGTACGAAGGCTCTTAAATGGTACTCCTATCAGATGAAGTATAAAAACAAGACTTTCTAATAAGGTGTTTTTTTTTTTAGTTTTAGTGAAATCAATGTTAAAAGACTGTTTTTTTTTTCTATTTTATAGAATTAGACTTTCTGGAAAACGGCCACAATAATAGTCACAATATACACAAGTTTATCTTGTGAACATTTTAGTCCAAAATTGTGATTGTCAGTAGGGCTGAAACAATTAATCGGATAAATTTTGATTAATTGATTACTGAAATAATCGTCAGCTAATCATGTAATTGATTCATTGGAGTTTTGAGATTGTAAAATATGCCTTTAAGTGACAAATCAACTAACCCTTGAGGAGCAATTATACAAAAATTGTGAAAAAAAAAAAAAAATATATATATATATA